AGGCTTTAGGGTTTTTGCCGTTTCACGTTTAGGCTTCAGGGATTTAGGATCTAGGGTTTTGGATTTGGGGGCCAGACATGCCGTGGGTGTCCAAGCTGTGCCTTAGTAAGTTAGCTCGCAAACTGTAAGCCCTATGATAGAAGCCTATACCGGCTACATCTCAAAGTGCAAGCATTACTGGCTAATCAACTCCACAAGCACAGTCCACCAGATCAGGCCCTCAAGCCATAATCCCAGCGCCCTACATCCTAAACGAAGCCCTAAACCGTAAACCCTGANNTTGATTGATTGATTGATTGGTTGATACCACAGAAGCTGCTGTCAAGCTGGGAATTGCTTACTCCCTTGGTGGAGGCGTTCTACCTGACTCCAGTACTCCTGCATGAGGTGGGACACAGCTCCTTGACTGCTTTGGAAGGGACCTGGACTCCCCAAAGTATGTGAGCTATGGTCTACTGTAAATTCCTTAAGGAGCGGGGTTATATAGGGGAGTATGTAGGGATTATGAGAGTATAGACAGTCTGCAACTATTTAGGCTCATGTCGGCTCCACAGAAGGCGCTTTGTGGCCAGAGCATGGCGCTTGAATCGGGAGTGTTGTCTTCAGCTCAGCACTACCAGGCTGAGCCCGAAGTGTCCAAGTCCCCAAAACTGAACATTTGGGCCAACAAGGAATTGATGAATGCAAAGGGGCCCAGCCAAATCTGTTGGGCGGCAACACCCTCTGATGTCTACCTAGATATGAGACCCTCCAGATGCGTAATAGAAACCGTCGCAGGCCTCTTGAACCCTGGGCCTTGTGTATCACTGCTTTGAGCCTAACTCTTGCAACCTCAAATCCTAAACCTTGAAGCCTAAATCGGCACACCAAACTCCCAAAACACAAGCTCCAAAACCAGAACATTGGCCGTGGGCACTGATTGCCACAGCTGTTTGGGTGCTCTAGAATAGGGGAGTTGAAGCCTTGGCCAAAAGAAAACCGGGCCCAACAGAAAGCCATCATCCTGCCCAAAGAATACACGTGACATTGCATATGATCCCTAGAAAGAATCCTTAAGTCTCTTCGTAATCCCTAGGTTTCACAATGCCAAGGAGTGGGGTCGTAGGGGTTCATTCTGGTAACCTAGTGGTAGCAAAGCCTTCAATTGTTAAACCCTACTACATCCCTCAAAGGCTCATCCCCCACAGCCCCTAAGCCCCTAAGCCCCTA